ATGCTAGAGAATATCTCCTTGTTGGATGTATTACTGGCTAGTATGGAATAGTGTTGAATTGGGAATGCGGACTGCAGAGATATTCCAAATACAAATGCATCATTCAGTAAATTGAGACGGTTTATATCGGAAATATTGGATTTCATCAACTGATCCAAAACTATAGAAGGATACTTGACCCTATAAAACCCCGATGAATTGTCATTTAGCTTGTAAAGATTGGATCTTTTCTTAATACGCACTGTGTTTTCTTGGAAAAGAATTGTTTCTAGAATGTCATCCTTCACAGAGGAATTCTCATTGTTGTTGGAAATCCATCTTATCTTTAGGGGAATTGGCCAGCGCTGGTTCATATTGGAGCAATCTTTATTGTTATGTGGATAACAGAATCTACTCTGTGAAAGAACCAATTCATCACCTTGTTCTTCAATAGAAACAAAAGGAAATCCTTCAGTAGTAATCCATGGATCAATTATTGATGAAATTGAACTCTTCGCTGTTAGCTTAGAGTTGGTTGTACACTCCAGGTTATTTGTTGAATCATGGCCTGCCATTATTTTTCCTGAATTCTGATATGCAAAGTTGAGAGACTTCCACAAATCTGAGGTTTCTGTGTTGTTGTATAGGTTATTGTTCATATATATACGTAATCCATCTCGAAATATCTCTGGAGAAATAAAATCTTCCATCATTCTAATTATTGATGCACCTTTACAATATGATATGGCATCAAATATTGTACCAATTTCATCTGGATCATTAACGTCTACTGCAATTTTATGAGTTGATGGTGTAGAATCGTGCTCAATCCCTGTTTCCATAGTGTCTGCAACAAAGCTGGTCCAAATATCACAATCTATTGTATTAATCTTGTCAAGTGCTGCAGATGCAGCCCATGTTGCAAACCCTTCATTTAGCCACAAATCATTCCACCAATTCATGGTAACTAAATTCCCAAACCACATATGAGCAATTTCATGGCAAACAGTAGTTCCTATCTGTAACTTTGATCTTTCTGATGAAGATAATCGACTAAATAGAAGAGATGTCTTTCTAAATGTAATTAATCCCCAATTTTCCATAGCACCACCTCCAGCAAATGAAGGTATTGCTACCAAATCTAATTTTGGAAGGGGATATTTTATTCCAAAGTACTCTTCAAAATATTGGAGGGAGTTTACTGCACAGCTCAATGCTAATCGGCCCCATTCAACTTCGTCTGGATGAGCATATATTCTTATTGGAAGATTATTGTATGAAAGATCTTCAATATAATCTAATTTTCCAACAATATATGCTACAATATAGGTTGACATTTTGGGTGTTTTGTGGAATTTATACAGTTTCCTATTGTTATCGACCTCTGAAATATGTTTTGCAGAGCTATTACTCAATGCCATATATTCTTTTGGAACATCCAATTCTATGGAGAAAGTTGCTTTTAAATTTGGCTGATCAAAGCACGGAAATGCCTTTCTAGCAAACGTAGGCTCAAATTTTGTAGTGAATAAGCTTGTTCCATGGTACTTGCTTTTATAGAACCCATCTAAACCACCATATTTTCCGTTAAATTGTATTTTAACTAAAAAATATCCTGAAACTTCCTCAGAAAGGACAATTTTAGCAAATTCATTCGATTCTGTAAAGCCTACAGCCAAGTTTGGTAATGGACATAATGCGGAGAATTTTTCAAATAGTTTCTCACAAGAATCCATAGCATTATCAATAACTTCCTGGTACTGGCAATACATCTTAGAAGTCATTCTATAAACTTCTGTCTTTTCTAGATCCAGTCCATTGCTATTTATTTCAAGGTATGAAATAGATTCATTTGAGTCTGAAGCCACAAAAGGACTGGCTGACTCAGTATTTGTATATGCTATAATAATTGCCATGCCGGAAAAATCTTCCTCATTGACTGTTATTTTTAAGTCATAGTGAATCGGAACAACACAATTACTTAAGCAATTTCTCATTTGGGGTAAATACTGACAAACATTCAATATGTTTATTAATTAATCTAAAACTACAGATCGAAATAGAGTACTCTTGTCTATTATGTCCTTTTATCTTTGAAATAATATATTAACTATTAAAACTACCTATTTCTAAGCAAGAACAAATAATGGTATAATTTAATATCGAATACTTTCTACCGTTTGTTTGAGTTCATACCACTTATCTCAGTTTTAGACTGTTCTAACAATAGAACCAAACTTTCTGGATCTGCTCCTTCTTCGAGCATTCTAATCATAATTTCAATTGCCTCCTCGTTAAAGTCTAAGCCCATTTCTTTTGAAAGATCATTTAACTTTCTAATGTCGGATGTTTCTGTATTTGAAAAGTTTAGATGAACCATTGACGGTGATGAAATCATCCCAAATTTTGAAATATCGACTGTAAAGAGTTATTTTATGGAAATGTAGATACTATAGGTTGTTTGTCGCATACTATCCATATTGATGCTACATATTAATTCCATCTAAAATCTTACAGTTACTTATGTAACTGTAAGATTTTGTCAAATTTATTATAATTATCAGATGGTAGTATAAGTATGTGTATTATCTGTCATTGTAACTCCCTATTTATCATGTATGATAATTTTCTATCTGTATCATCATACAAATAGTAAGATTTTAATCCCGACAACACTTACAAAGAATTAATTGAAACAAAAACCAGTTATTAAATAGTTTAATTAAACATTCTTCTACTGCCAGCTAATCTACTGAATGCACTACCACCTGTGGATGCTGTATTGGTATTGCTTTGCTTGGGATCATTATTATTGGTATTATTCAATGTGTTGATTTGTGGTTGTAAATTGTTGATTGATGTAGGATTAGGTGGGCTAGTTCTGAAAGTATTTTGAAAACCATTGAATTCAATGCCAGAATTTGAAACTGATTGACCAAACCTTCGACTCACTTCATTACTCTCGGTATGTTCGATAGAAGCTTGATCTTTATCATTGCTGGTTTCGAGCTTCGATTGAAGAAATTCACTTTTTAGAGGATAGCTTATTGGATTTGATATGCTGGCTGAAACTGGTGTATTTTCAATTTGAACTGTATTGCTGGTTTTGTATTTTCCATCCATTGTAGCTGAATTCGTAACTATTGAATGCTGTTTAACATCTATGGCTTTAACTCCTTCTATTATATCATCAATATCCTTTTCTATATCCATTTTTATAGTATCACCAACCATAGGCTTCGAATAGTGAATTGGAATCTTGGAGCGTCTTGATGTTATTTTGCCATCGATATATCTTATACCCTCCTCAATGTTAATCTTTTCGATTTTCGAATAATTTTCAACTTGCTGGATCATTGAGCTAAGTTTGTTTTCATACTTTACACTTCTATTGAAAATCAGATTATAAAGATGATCCAAATTAAATTTAGACTCTACAAATATCAAATCATCAATCGTATCAAATTCATCAAATGTGGGGAAATTAGAGCACACATTTAAAATTTGCTTATTTAATTCATCCTCATAAAATTTAAGCTTGTCTTCTTCAGATTGGAAAACCATTTTCTGGGAGTTATTTACACTTTTATCGGTGGTTATATTCTCTGGAGTCTTTCTTATCTCATTTCCCTTGTTTTTAACATGGAAGAATTCTGATTTCAAATTGGACAAATCATCTTTATTCATACCACCTTTCGGCGATATTGTAAGATGAGATGCTAATTCATCTATCTCTGATGATTTTTCTTCAGATAGGGTTTTGTCTTTTTCAAATAAGCTATTGCTTGACGAGCTATGTGTGACTATATTTCTAAAGATATCCGAGGTACTAGTCTTGGTTACGAAGGATGAATTTCCAAATAGACCTCTATTGCCTGCAGTTGTGTTAGAACTATCAAATAGATTGCTAATAACTGTTCCAGATGGAATATCAGATTCATCATTAAAACTCTTCTTATTGTTCAATAAGTTATGAGTCCCACCAAAAGTATTACTTTTAAGTAAGGATTGAGATTCCTTGGAGTCTTTATTTTTTCCAGATAGATTATCTGATATTGCATCATCTCCCAGGCTGGGACTGTTGACAACATTAAATGCTCCTCTATTTTCGTCCAAGATCCTAAGTACTGATCCATCGTATTCGTACTCGACAACTCTGTAATTGTAATTCTCTTCTGAAACTACTACATTATCTATTTCTATTTTAAAAAATGCCGTCTCACTTACATCATTTACTATTATATAGCCGTTACAGTATTTGATATCCTCTATATTCACAGAGATGCATTCATCATCCATTCTAGGAGCCAACATATCTTCTTCTTCCATCTCTATACACTTACCGTTTTTTATATAAACTAGCTCATCTGATTTATTATTTCCAATAATTATGATATTTTTGACAGAACAAACAAAATATCCACCCCCATGGGTATGAAATGGATCTGAAAGCTTATATGTATTGTGAAAACTATCAGATATTTCAAAAAAGCCATTTATGATTTCTATTGTTTGACCTTCAAGATCAAAACAATTAATGCCATTTTCTTTAGAATTCCAATCATTTAATTTGCTGTTCTTTCCACTACTTAAATCATCGTTCTTGTAAACTCCATCTTTTCCCCTTGAGAATATATTATATTTACTGCCTTCATGACTTTGAAGAATAATTATTCCTGCCTTTTCAAATATCTTGTCTATTTTTCCATTTATTTTTATTATTTCACTGTTCTGTTTAATTAGAGAGAATTCTGGATAAACAGCTGTATTAAAAGTGGCAAAGGAGTACTTTCCAGCAAAAATATTCACTTCATTTATAAATTTGCCATTTACCAATTTCACATTCAAAGGATTTAGTTTTGAGGATTCTACTGTAAAGAATTCTTTAAAAGATAACTCAACCATAAGGGTAAAAGAACTATAACAAAATATGCCCTAGGAGCAATTGAGAATGATTAAAAAATGCTATTGAACATGCATGAAGTGCGTAGTTTACTTTGATCTTATTACTAAATTTATTGCTAAATCTTCCTCTTTTGTTTAGTAAACGGAATCAAATTAAATTCCATTGATTTATCACATCTGAAAAATCCAATTCGTTCAATCTGAACAAAATCATTCACTTTTGTCTTGGAAATAGCACCTTCTGCAATCCACCATTCTTCTTTCTTGGACTCCTTATTGAATTTTTCTACTAAGTCTTCACTAGCTGACTCATTCTGTAAGTTTCCATACTCATAAAACTTCACAAAAGAGGAGCCCTTCTTGGAAATCCAGGTTATCTTGTTTTTGGTGGTTTTGTAATCACCATTCAAGTTTAATAGAAATTTCATTGTCTTAACAATGCCTTTCTCCTCTATCTTCTCCTTAACAATTGCATTTCCCCAATTCATCAATGTAAATTCCTCATTAACCTCCAAAATCTGTGCATCTTCTTGAGAAATCAAAACCAAATTCGATAAAAAGATCTCCTTTGTTCCCAAATCGAGATTCTTCTTATGCAAAGGAATATTCCTTATCGACTCTCCTATCAACATGCATCGATCTAGTTGTGATATTAATAATTCATTAACCCCAATATTCATGTTCGTACCTCCATTTTCAAAAATCTGGCATTCAACACAATCAATCGATTGTACTGCCGAGTATCTCGGTGAAATCGGATCAATCTTTTTTTTGTTAAGAGCCCATATTTTATCCCATGAAATAGTAGATGATTTCTGGGATGAACCCTGCATCAAAATGTATTCACACAATGCTTCCATATCCATTCCCTGTCTTTTTATTCCCCTCAGTGTACACAGCCTAGGATCATCCCATCCCTCAACAAGTTTGTGATCAACATAAAATTTAATTTGTCTCTTGGATAGTACTGTGTTTTCGAAATTCAGCCTTGAGAAATCATGGATTTTAGGTCTGTTTTCTAATCCGAGCGTATCTATAAACCAATAATACTGAGCATTTCTATCCCTGTATTCATTTGTACGTAATGTAAGTGTAACTCCATCCAATGAATCTACAATTGGACAGGCAAAATCATATGTAGGATAAATCTTGTACTTCTTTCCGGTAATATAATGCTCCTTGTTAACATATCTATAAATTACGGGATCTCTGAGTGCCTTATTTACATTTTGGAAATCAATCTTAGCCCTCAGGCAGTATTCTGTAGATCTACCATTATTCATTTCGTAGAATATCCTTAGGTTTTCTTCTTCACTTTGGTCTCGGCATTTACTTGCAATTCCATCCATTCGTTCTTCTCGCATTTTTTCCACTTCTGTATTGTCACAATATGCCTTATCTATCTTTATTAGTCTGGTCGCAAGTTCATATATTTTGTCAAAATGATCTGAACTACGAACCAATTTATAATCTGTAATATTCAACAATCTAAGATCTTCTAGAATTGCCTTTTCGTAAACAGAATCCTCTTTTTCGGGATTTGTATCATCAAATCTAACGAGAAGTTGACCTGACATAGTGGAACTATCCAAATCTTTTCCTTCTCTCACATTTGGCTTGACCATCTCTGCATTTAGTAATGCTGCTTTAACATGCCCGATATGTAAATATCCATTTGCCTCTGGGGGAAATCGTGTTACTACATGTTTCGGTCTATTTATATTTATTTTCCCCTGATCTTTAGTATTAAATTTCTTCAATATATTTTTATTGACTTCTGACAGATGTTTATAAAATTCCTTTAGAATTGGAAATTTAAAATCTTTCTTCTTTGACTCTCTTATGAATGTTGTGGAGCAATAAAGAATTGCAAATATTAGGTCTGCCATGATACAAGCACGATCATTGGAGCTAGTTTCCATGTCTGCAATATCATTATTATGACAAGATACAGAGCAGACCGTTGGTTTGAGTTCCAATTTGTCGAAATTTTCCGTTGCAGATCGCATGGAAAGATCGTCTTTGTCTCTGCTTGTCCATACATATAAGCTGTTGTTCTGCTTAATGTAGACAGCTATTTCTTCCAAATATTCTTCTAAGTCTTCAAGTGTAAAATCAAAATCAAATTTTTTTAAAAAGTCCGGTCCATTCAGCTTGATGATTTGATTCTGTATTATTGGAGAACTTACTGGCTTTAGCCCATATTTTTCGTTCAACAGGAAATTGCAAAACTGGGCTTTTGAAGTATTTTCAGTTATCATCTAAGGGTTGAAGAAAATTGTAAAAATTAGAGAATGGATCAAATCCAATTAAATACCATAACAAAAGCTCTGCCTATTCATTACACTCGTTTATAATTATACCATTGGAATTTAATTCTCTTTTGAATTATATATTTTTTCGCAGAGCATATAATTGAATTCACTCTCGTAATATTTGATATCAGTTCTGAGATTTTTAATGAAATTATCCAGTAAAATAACCCAAGCATCAGAATTATTAATGTTTGTGTATCTTTCTGAATAGAAGTGTAGCCTAGTTCTCATACCAGAATACAAAATGTATAAACACAAATCTGATTGTTCAAATCCACGGCTATCTGACTCATCCAATTGTGGCATCTCTTTACTCCTGCTGACTGAAGATTTATTATTTTTTTCAGTATTGTCTTTAAACAACATTTTCCACATTTCCAATGTTTTTAATTTTGCCTCTACAACAATATCAACCCTGTTAAATTCTCTAAAGCTCTTCTCTATCTTAAATATTGTAAGTAGCTTGATTTGCTGAGACTGATCTTCACTCATAAAAATATAAAAGGCTTCAAATTCTTTGAGTAGAGTCCAAGCAGATGTAAGAATAAATGGGTTTGCATGCCTGCGACTTATGTATTGAACATTAATATCTTTCACACTAGGACCTTCGATTTGCGTATTTTTGTATTGATTATCAATATCGCTTTTTGATAACTGATTTTTCCCCCATTTATCTTCCACTATTTCTACATATTCTTTTTCCTGAAATTCATCAAATGACTCTCTTTTATATTTACGAACCAAATGTGGCTTACTTTCTGCTTTATCTTCCAATAATATGCTCAAACTGACATCACATTCCACATTTCCAGAATAATAAATATCATTTGAAAGTGTCTGAATATGATCAGTTAGTAACAAAGTGGAAATATTTTGGATATTGGGAGTGATTGTAATGGTGGAAGGGACCATACAAAGTGGTGTAATGGAATCATTCAAAGATGCTTTATCAACAATGTCTTGTGAAATATTGGGATTACTATTGATGAAGGAAGTATCAGATTTGTGCTCTAGATTATTTTGTGGCTGTGATATGGAAAATATTCCTTCAAAAACATTTTGATTAGCACTAAAAAAAGTATGTTCGACCTTAAAAGTTAAAACTGGATAGTTACTATCTCCACAATCTGGTGAATTTTTTATTGCCCCTAACTCATGTCTTGTTATAATATGACAGCCATCATCAGCGTGTTCCATCGACTTGAACTCTTTTATATTGGTATCCTTTATTTCATGTTTCATAGTTAGGGATAATTTTTTAAGACTTGGAAATATAAGAAATTCATAAAACTTGTCAGTGCATACTCGAATGATCTTTATTATGACAAACCAGTCATAATATATACTTTACGATTTAAAGATACTTTTTCATGTTTCTTTCTTAATTTTTTATTCACTGATATTTTCAATATTTGGATGCCCCCTCAAAAATGTCAGATCACAAAAACCAATTAGAATATCCTTTACCAGAGATTTTGGTTAATTTTATTAAGGAAGACCAGAAAGAGTTTGGAGATTTCATTGTTGCTTCTGTAGAATGTACGATAAAGGATTCCACAAATCACTATGAAGATTTGACAACAGCATTAGAACCATTGTTGGGAGAGAAGACAAAACCATTTGTACATAAGCTGTTTATGTATAGAAAGAGAGAATGTAGACTAGGCAACCTATGCGATGTACCCAACTGTTTGTTTGTTCATCCTTCAAAAAAATTTAAGATTGCTGAAGAAAACAACACTTCTAACTCAACTGCAGGTGGAAGCAGTATTTATGGCAGTATTTATTCCAGTTCTACTATACAAACCATAAATACAAACCGGGAAGTGGTATTTAACAAAGTGGATGAGTCCATGTATGATATTTCTCAAATGAAAGAATATGCAATACATTATGGACCTTTAGAATCCATAAGAAGATTGAATAAAGGGAAATACCTGTTGATTTTTGAAAGCCCAGACTCTGCCAGAAAGTTGATAGAATGTACGGAGCTTGTAATGGGAGATCCGAACGTGAAGAAATTTTATAATGTCATGATAAGGCCAACTGATGGGGCTGGCACCTGTGGCAGTACTACTAATCCTCGTTTTGATCCTAAACTGCTTCCAAAATCGACATCTGCAGTAGCAACTATCAGTCGTCGCTTTGATATTGTAGAACTGCTTCAGGAGCAGAAGGAGTTCATTGAAAGGATGGAGCAGACAGGTGATATCTCAGAAATTGGATTGCTAAAGTTGGTAACTCTGCGAATTAGAAATTATATTCTGCAAAAAGAAAGCAAGGCATCCATAACTGGCAATATATATAACAGTTATACAAACAAGCAGAAAAATGATAGTAGTAATACTAAATCTCAAGCTGATGATTCAGAGAGTATATATTCTACATTTTTTACATAGTATAAATAAAGCATTTGAACCACGCATTCTCAATTCAGCATAGCTTTGTATCTGTTTTATATGAGATATATCGGAAATTTGATTTATGATGATTTGATCCAAGCAGTTTGTTTAAATAAATTTGTAAATGACCATATTCTTTTAAAATATATTTATAACAAGATGCACCCAAAAGCTCGAAATCACCAGAGGAGTGGTGAAAATAGATCCTGTCCATCATTCTGTTTATATGGTGTTTGTATTTAAGTTAAACAATTGTATAATTTATTAATTTATGGGCAATACCTTATCACATATCATTGTGATACTTTTCCCCAAAACCAATATTCCTCCTGATGTATTGCTGGTTTCTGTCGAATTATATATTTGGGTACAAAGAATACAATTAGCCACTTCATCATACTCTATTAGCTTACCATCAACGGTTTCCCCACCGTGTAGAAATATAATTACATTCTTATTTTTAAATCTGCGAATATCATTGAAAAGTGTCTTCATTGGTTCCGACTTTTTTCCCGAATCAGCAGATATTGAAATGCCAACAGATTCTGAATCTTCTGTAGTATATTCAGTATTGTATCTGGCGCTTTCTTTATCTATATTGGATGATACCGTACTACTTTTATTTTTTCTGTCTTGTTCACTTGTATGTAACATGAAGTGGGCTAAAAATAAATACAAATATTGATTTTATACAAATATTTCAGAGTAGGGATTTATTAAATATTGATGTATAGATAGTAGCGAAACGAACATATCACTTTTCTATGTTCGATACTCTAAATATTAGTGTCGGTTTTAGATCTATTTTTTGATTTTTTATGGTTAGTATTTGACTTGTTTGGATCTATTATATCCCTGCTCAGAATCTTAGACCTCTTACTTTGTCCATTATTCCCATTTGAGGAACATTTCTTTGTAAAATGAGAGAAGTTGTGTTGAAAAATTGTTGATCTATTAAAAGCTTGCTCACAATCATCCATAAAGTGTGAATCCGATAAACAAAATGGACAACTTTTAATAATTTGATTTTGTCTATGGTTTGTGGAGCTTATTTTATACTTTCTCCAATGTATGGGACAATCTCTCATATCATGATTCATTATAACAGTAGATTTATCTGCATTATTAGAACTTTGGTTGTTCTTGTTATTAGGATTTTGTCTATTTCTACACTTTGGACTAATTTGACATTTGATGCATTCTATTGGATCTTTGCTTCTCTCCCTACAATTCCTTTCAAAATGGCCAATAGAAAAACAGTTGTTGCATAAAACAAATTGGCAAGGTGCCTTATGGTGTGCAATTGCACAGTAGCTGCATACACGTGAAGCCTGTTCTGGACAATCTCTAGATACATGGCCTACTTCTGAACAGATAAAGCAACGTGCTTTCGTTCCAAAATATCTTCTGCACTCATTAACTCCTCCTAATCCTTCTTCTTTATCAACATGGATGGTTTCGTTATAAAATGTATAGCTTAGAATACTAAAGACATCAATGCTTTCATCAATATCCACTATTCTTAGATCATTTTCGATCTTTGCATCAGAAACGGCTTGATGCAAGTCATCAAATACTTCAAGCATGAAATATGGGGTAAAAACTGTAAATCAAACCGGTTTCAAGAATATAATAATTCATTTCAAAGTTATTGATTGAAGAACCACAATAAATAACCATGCTTTACTATTACTAAGTTGATAATATTACGATCACTAACAAGCATTTGGAGGCCATTTCACTAATATTTTATTTATCCTTTACAATCATATGCTCATTGTTGGCATAATACTCCTTTTCTTCTACATTATCTCTTTTATCTTTCTAGATTTACAAAATTCACTGCCACAGTTACACTCTTCATTACCATTTTCAAAATTAAAATTGTAATTTATTGTAAGCTCTTCCCCAGCTTTAATGTTCCTAATTGCATGATAACATATTGTGTTATTGTTGGTATTTGTACATGTTGCACAGTTAGGCACACAACTATGATTTATAAATCTAGCCTTATTTCCGCGTAAGGATGCATCTATGATCAGATTGTCATTGACCGTAAACATATAGATAGATTGCATTCCATATTTCAAATATTTCCTTTCTCTCATATTGCTGGTGCACTTCGATATTAACTCACCTTCATACTTAATGATAAATGTCCCTACTTCAATATCCATTCCTGTAAATACGCCATATCCATGTATTATTGACATTTTCACAGATAATGCAGATGGATACATGTGTGATATTGGAACATTATTCAAAACTTGAACTCTTGTATGTGGTTTTCCACTTGTTTTGCGGGTATTACATTTCATTCCTGAATATACCAAAGGAGCTGTACTATTGGAGCCTAGGTTTACAAATGAACTATTGAGTGATGGAGAGGCAATTTTATGCTCTGGAAACCCTATATTTGATTCAGATGTCGAATGGTTACTTTCTTTAGTGATCTGCATCTTAGATATCATAAATCCATCTTTTGATAATTGATACGAGTCTATATATTTTCCAATGGATTGTGTGCTTGATAAAACTAATGCTCGACTAATATTTGAGTGAGCAATCAATGCATCTTCAGTCATTTCATCATTATCAATGGAATTCTTATTCTCCTTTATTCTTATATCTGGGGCCTTTCTAATACAATCCAAAATATGCTCATTACTGTTTATACTACTAGCAAGTCTTTTCGTTGATTTGATAGTACCTAAAGAAGAATTCAAATCCTGGTTTTTCTCAATATCTTCTGGATCTTCAGTTTCTACTTCCAATCTTGATATAAAATGTGCTGTTGGATTACAAGGAATTGATGAAGTTTGCAACAAGTCGGTGTTCTGTTGAAATTTTGTCGGAAGAGTTCCTTTTTTTCTTAAAATAATTGATGGCTTACCCAGTTTTAAATTCTTGTCTCGAAGAGATGCTTGTTCTTCAAAAAATAGTTTGTATTTTAAGTATTCTGCCTTTAAAACAACTATTTTGGAAGAGAAATCTAGGGTATTTTGACATTTTGAACAAATGTCTATATTTGAATGATCATTCAACTCAGGTTGTTTAGATCTCCTATAAGTTCCACATCCCTTGTACAAATTATTTTGACAAAGAATATCAGAGGACAGTGGTCTAGTATATTTCTCATTATACCTTGCTGTTTCGGAAATTTTGAAACTTGAATTCTTGGTACTATCTAATGGACAGCTAGTTTTTTTATTATTACCACCATATGTACTTTTGCTGCTACTTACTTCTTTTTGATCGTAATTCTCATTAAAATGTTGTTCTTTATTCCAACAACTGTTGTAATCTTTGGATAAACCATCAGTCTCTGCAATACCATTCGGAGTCTTATTTTTTATGGTTCTATTACTATCATATCTTGCCTGGTATTTTTTCTCACTAGTTTGTTCTAAATTTGAATCAGTTTTATGTGGCAAGGCTATCTTGCTCTGGTCTGTAAACTGCTCATTTTTTGTTGTTGAATTGTTCTCATCTATCTCCATGGAAGAATTTGGGCAGTCTGAAGTAGAAATTTTCTTCAATCATTTGGTTACAACAATTTTTCGTAACAGAAATGTTTATGGTATTGGAACTTAATTTGTATAGGGATAAACCACACGGATATTTGAGAATTTATAAAATTTTTGGTAATATAGAGCATCCAATTAATTGTGACTAATACTCATAGGCTCAAGATTGTATCTATTTTGAAATATGGGGATCTCAATAAAAATAATATAAGGATGTTAATTTATTTCTTACTTTGGCTGACACTCAGCTTTGACCTGGCTTTATCGCTATCAGCCGTGGGCTTCAACACCTGAAAACTACAACACATTTTTTCGTCAACATTCATTATGGCTCCAGAATTGTCAAACTCTCCACAATAGTTTGGAGCAGAGAATATAGTTACTAAATCCCTATCTCCAAAAAATTCATATCCATCTTCCACAACCTGATGAGCTCTACATATTAGATCAATATTTACCGAATCAATAAAACTTCTTAGTTTATCCACTCCAAATGTGACGGAGACCCCTCTATCGTTTTCACCCCAGCCCGTGATGGTCTTGTCCGGGTCACTCCACAGCAGATCACAAAGAAGTCCCTGGTCTGGAATGTCTGTTGGACGGCGAATCGATGCGATTTGATCAAGTGATTTTAAATCTGGGGAAATGCCGCCGTGCATGCATAGTATCCTAGAATCAACAAGGGCCGAGATTGGCAACCAATCAAAGCATTCCGTAAATGTTTTCCACAAACTTATGGAGTATCTACGCTTACATTCGTCATAAAATCCATATATGCGATTAATCCCTGCTGATTCGTGATTCCCCCTAAGAAGAAAGAAGTTATTGGGATACTTGATCTTATATGCAAGAAGAAGCGAAATACATTCCAATGACTGCTTTCCTCTGTCGACATAATCACCGAGGAATAAATAGTTTGACTGTGGAGGGAATTTTCCATATTCAAATAATGAAAGTAGGTCGGAATACTGTCCATGGATATCTCCACAAATTTTGACTGGTGTTTTTATTTCTAAGAGTACAGGCTGTGATTTAAATATTGCCTGTGATTCTGTACATAAATATGTAATTTCCTCTTCTGTCAGATTTACAATTTTGTTAGCCTTGGTTCTAACTGACAATAGCTTTGTAATAATTTTATTGACGTCTGGCCTCTCTCCCATTATATTGTGGCCAAAAAATTAGAAAAAAATTATTCTAGAAAGAGGATGAAGAAGAATTTAAAATTCTTCAGTCATAATTATTTTCACAAATCGAAAACATGCAGAAAATAAGTTTTGTTTTCCAATCAAAATAATCAAAGAATGAATATTCTGAGGAATTTGAATCCATTTTTTAATTTAGGTCGCATGAGATACTATTAATTAAAACATGAAATGAGGTTTCCCGCTTCTCAGAACAATCGATATCCAAATTGCACATTTTGATTACTTATGTAGAGATGAGTTATTTTCTATCTTTTAATTATCTTTACCTGAAAACTAATATTGGCCTAATGCTGATGATTATATATAAACTTATTTACGTTCTTTTAAGTTATGCCAATTTATTACACACATCTAGGAAATAATCACTCTAAGTACAAATAAATCTATTCTAAATTCAAACTAAGCATCTTACATTTTAGAATCTGCATAGTTCATTAACCCGATCAAACTAGTTTTTTTAATTACATGGAAATATTTTATTCCAAACTGAAGTTAAAATTGAAATCCTGATCACTGCAGCAGAGTTTATTTAAATTTTGCTATTTGGTCATATAGGGCTGGAAGTGTAAATATTCTATTCTGATCCTCAATTGATAGGTCTTCTCCGCCTTGTTGTTTTTCCTTCAATGCCTCTACCATCTCAATTTCTTGCACAAGAGATTCCATAGTAAGCTCAACCTTCTTTGATACTATTTTTTTCTTGGGAATTCTATTTTTAGAAGTATTAATTGTATTTTCTGGTAAGTTAAAATCCGGAATCACCCAAGCCTCCTGCTTTTGTAAAACATTTAGAACCTCTGGTTCCTTTAGTACAACTGCTGGTTGTGGATTGCCATAAACCTCTGCCTTCACTAAGCTCTTACATTCCATCTGTTCAGTCTTTCGGCCGTAGTAGTCGTATATGTCAATTTTATTATCAGATTTAAAATAGTTGGTTGTGGCAACCATAAAATGTGAATTGTCATTCAACCACTCAAAAATCGATGCCCCAAGACTCTCAAATTTACATGTAACAGTTCCACTGTCATGAACCTCAACATTTCCAGGCAGATTTCCATATCCTGCATATATAATTCTATTTCCATTCGTGGAAAAGCATATTTTATTCCGGATTGTCTTCTTGAACTTCTTGATGCTTTTTCCAGTCTTTCCATCAAAGAGAAACAGATTTGCCGGCTGACTACCAAAGCACACAAAGAATGCATTGTCCAACCATTTAACCTGTAAAACTCTATGAAGGGTTTCATAGAAATAGATAGAATATCCTTCTATACGTGAAACTAGTTTATGGATGATTTGGTGGCTATTCTTAGATTCCTTTTCTCCATCTGCTACCTCATCAATATTATCCTTAGATGCATTTTGCCCATCGGCTTCCCCTATCTTTAAGAAATATACCGATACATCTGCAAAATACGTTTTACTGGAGTAGCTTGTTTCTATTACCAAAACGATCTCAGACTCATTACCACCCCTTTTATACTCTGCCTTGATTCTATGAGCCTCCTTAAATCCTATTAATTTTGTAATTTTACCATCTCTTATTGCATATAGGATCTGCTCCTGATTGGGGATTTTGTCTGTTAGCACAAACACAATTTTGTTTAGGCATATGACATCCTTAATTTTAATTTCCTTTTTAACAGTTTGTTTGCTCTGGTCAATATCGAATAAATTAAACTTTGTTTCGTTTGTATAGAATACAAATCTATCTGAAACTCCATACTTGCCAACATTCAAAACCTCCAAAATTATCGTATAGTTTCTTGACATCTCCCAGTCTAATTTTACAACAGTTAACTTTGAATTTGCTGTCAAAAAGCACGCTATTTGTCCATTGGGTGAAAGTTTCATGTCCGTAACTCTCTCCAAGGGCATTTCACATAAATTTACCATTTTCTCTGATTTAGAATTTGGTCTCAGATCAATAAATGTAATCATTCCGCCAAAATAAGAAATCACTTTGTTATTATTTAGTTGGTATTTAGTAGATTTGACAACCTTCGGTTTGTCTCCAAAAACATCTATAATCAGTCCAACTTCAGACAATGCGATGACTGGCATTCAGGGGGTAAAATCTATTGCAAATGGAAAAATTATTGAAGAATATTTTCTACAAAAACTGACACAATTCCAGAACTAGATATATAAAGAGTGGTACTCAAACAAAGATAGTATTCTCAGACACCGTTGACAGTGTTTCAATTTCCACTTAAAAGAATATTAAAAATTTTCCTTCCCTTAACGAATGATCAGATTTATTGAAAACTTGGAAAAGATACAAGCTGAGGGAATTTCACAGTCGGAATACGTTATTTTTCTCAATACAATGTGTAGGTTTGTTGAACATCAGCCTTATGAAATTAAAAAGAATTTGTCTAAAAAATTTATGAATTTTGTCAAAATCTCCTCCAATGAAGCTGTATTAATGGTATCTTATAAGGCACTTTCCAAGTGCACTGACATCATGTTGAAAATCAACTTGAGTAGGCGAATTATAAGGAGTCACTTTAAGATTAGAAGACTAAGAAGTTCAATTTTGGATTATTTAAGAAGTAGAAATGATACGTTTTTAGAAAAAAAAATTTTAAGAAAATTAATAAACAATCCAGAGGTCCTAACCAAAGAGCTACTAGAATATATCAAGTTTAATAGAAAGATAATTACAAAAAGCATTTTTCAGTCACAAACATCTGAAGACTATCGCACTCTTGATGCAAAGCCACTTTATATTACAAAAGAAGACAATGTGTTGTCTTATGTTCATAAGCACCTGGAAATTATTCAAAACTGTCATATTGACTTTAATTCTGATTTCTTTGCAAATTACCTAGGATGCGAATCCAAAATAATAGCATATAAAACCTTTGAGGCACTTTCAACTTTTCATAGGGACTATAGAATTCGACCAGGAAGCATAAAAATCTTATCAATGACGAATTTCATACAGTTTGGGCACTGTTTTATTGAAGAGGACCTCAAATCCATGGTGCTGTCTTGTGATGTAAATGGAGTGAATGAAGTATTGAGCCATTATTCAACTTCACCGTGTAATCCTCTCTGTACAGCCGATATTTTAAAGATTTCAATGGTTGTAGAGATTTATAGGTCGGAAATAGAAATAGAGAATGACTTCTCTGATAAAGAGTATTACGGCATGTTTGACAGCCTTTTTATACCAAAGAATTCCTTCCAATGTACTGATTGTCCAGAATATTGATAATGAAATTTCCAATAGATTAAAACGAAGATTTCTACAGGGCTTTTTAGGAATGCTGGGGAATTTGATTGTAGACGGCTCCAAAGCTATTTTTAGTTCGTTTAAGAAAACACTGATGAATACGCTACAGCCTCATAGAATGAGAAGAGAAGAAGCTCTGCAGATACTGAATTTAAAGAAAGCATTCCGCCAAGAAGAACTAGAGAAGAATTATAACAAATTTTACCAAGCCAATTCAAAAGAAAATGGAGGGTCAATTTACATTCAGAATGCCGTCAAGGGTGCTTATGAAATGTTGAAAAATACCCACATATCTAGGCTCTGATACATTAAACTTTTTTATTAAATTTTTTAAAGAGGACTATTTTGAAGTAACTATTGGAACTTAGAAGTACATAAACCATAATATTTTTAATATTAACAAATAGTTTCTCTGAAACAGACTATATTTATTACACAGGATACCTGCATATATGGCCACACTACTTCCATCTACTTTTGTTCGTATTGATATTCTTATCCTCAATACTTTTTTATTAACTCCATTGAGACATTCTTGTACGGAATTCCTCCTCTAACTTATTAAAATGAATAAGTGGAAAATGGAACAAAGAACATTCTGAATGAATGCTACGCAGGGAAATAATTTCTTTTAAGAGACTTGTGGTTTTTTCTGCTGATTCGGCCTTATAGCATTGTTCAGCCTTTATATAGATGGAATGAAGCTTGGCTATGCAGATTCCCCAAACCAGAAGATTCCTGGACTCCACCATGGAATATTTTGATGCTAATGAAGCAACAAACTCCATATGTAGAATTAGATATTCTAACCTCTCCATATAGAATGATCCTCTAAGTTTTACATTGTCTTTGAAATTAGAATTCGATGAACTGGGAATCTCATATTGTGCAGACAAATAACAACAAATGGCCTGCATATGGAGAAGAACCCCTTCCTTGGTTTTCTTCTTGTCTCCTTCAAGTTTAAGGGATTTTGCCTTTAAAAGAAGCTTTTCTAAAGCAGAATTCCGCTCTTCAAAAAATGATCCAAATCCCTCTGAAGAAATTGTATAATCATCAAAAAACCCTGTTTCTTTTAGCTGTCCAATCATTTCAAACAAACTTGGCGCAGATCCATGATCACTTGACTTGCTATTTGATGCTTCCTTTAGTTTCTTGTTTTTAAATTCCATTCGTGGGTGAAAATATTTATACTCATTTGAATAGGACAATCTAAATAATCTGGAATAAATATTTATTTAGATGTGTAACCAGTATCAAGGATTCTAACGAAGGTATTTAGGTACCCACACTGTCCAATATAAATTAATTTTCATTACATTCTTTAAATCATCAATTTGTATCAAGTATTTTTAACAAATCCTACTGAATAAGCGTCAAACTTCATTTACATAAAAGATTGATTCAAACGGAGCTTTTTCAATTCGGGAGATATCATTATAAGTCATTCCTGGGTACGTCTTCCAAAAACTATTAATCCACAACATAAAATGCTTAGACTTCCAATAGCCAAATGCAATATTATGACGTTCCCCATATGATGAAAATCGCTCACTGCAGCTCCACAAAGATCTACTGTCTGAAATGCAGTGAACAACTCAACTGTGTGGCAAACCAATGTTAATTTGCTGGCTAGTATATTGGCTGTAGCCGATAGCAGAGCAACCAAAGCCAGTTGCTTAATAAGAAATTTCTTTATACAGCACTGTCTAAATACCAATACAACATAGAAATGATACCCATAAGCTATTAAAGTTTGCCAAAAGGACAATGTAATTTGATAATTCCAGAAATTTCCAATATCTTTTTCTATTTGGTTTTTAAAAAAAACTACTGAAAGAGATTCAGATATGCTTCCAAATAGCAACAATGTATCTCTCAATCTAAATCCGACTGATGTGTCCCTTTCAGTCACAACAAGTTGGCTGTAGCCCGTAATAAATGCTATCAGCAGTCCCAAGTTTTGCAGCGGCGTCAAAGATCTCTTGGAATACAAAGCTATACAGATATTACAGAAACAAATGTAAATATTATTTAGCACAATAACCTTAACATTTGAGTTATAGTTAAGATCAGCATAGTTTTCAACCTCTTCATTGAACACAGTCAAGATTGCAACGAGCAAGATTCTGGCATTTGTCCAGTCTATCTTGGTGGCATTGATCGATGATACACTAAATACCACAAATACCGTTATCAATGCTATTAGTGAAGGTAGTTCTGTCTGAGACAACAGCATATCAAATATTAACTTGCTAAGAATTGTGAAGACAGTATATAGCATAAACAATCCATATTTGGAGCTTATCATTCTAAGGATTAAATTTGTTTTGTTTGATCACAAAAAATTGGAAATTGGGAAACTTCCAAGTATAAGGGATAATCTGAGTTATCATTATAAATAAATTGCGGAGTATCGCAACCAAACCACTGCATATTAGAGAACTGCAACGACATGATAAAAATATGACTTTATAATAATTTGTATTTCTATACCCATGAAAAAAGATAGTTTGGACGAAACAGATATAGTGAAGAATGTGGTTGTAAAGTACTTAGAATCTATACTGAATATTTTTGATGCTACACTCTTGCAAGTTATTGTCAACTGCTTTAAAGAAAAAAACAATAATTTGCTAGTTTCGCTTCTAGAAAGCCGGCATATTTCTGAAATAAAAAAACTAGTAAGTTTGCAGGAGAAAGATAA